CCACATGGAAGGAATGGTCAGCGCGCTCCCTGTGCTACCTGGCTGGTCACACACTGGTCCTGCTGGTAGCTCTGGGAGGCCTGACTGCTTGTGGGTCCAGGTCCCTTGAGCAGGTGTCCCCTGGGTGACAGAAGTCAGGCAGGAGCATTCCCTGCAGCAGTGGCCTCTGTCCTGACAGCCCCAATAGGTCTGTGAGACTTCTTGGTGACATCTTGTCAAGGAGGCACCACTGTCTTATGTGACAGATATTAATGTGGCAATGACCATGGGGTCGATTGTTAAGCCATTTTACAGATGGGAAGACTGAGGCCCAGGATATGAAGGACTTTGCACTGGGTCACACAGGAGAAAGCAGAGCTGGGTTTGTGCCCAGGGCCTCGCTGGAGGGTCCTGGCCCCGCAGAGACAGGTCCCGCCCTGGGACAGAGGGGCACCCAGAGGGGTTAATGCGTGGGGGGGGCGCAGGGCAGATGGTGCCCTCTCAGGATTCTTGTGCCTCAGTGGTGGGTCCCAGGCACTGCCTGCAGACTCACCAGGGGAGGGAGGCTCCCAGGGCACAGTGGTGTGCTTTTGGCTAGCGGGGATCTCCTGCTCGCCACGTAAGACCGTGGTGTTGACTTTGAGGACTTCTGCCCAATGGCGAGCTGTCCCCTAGCCAGGACGGTCTCTGGTTAGCTCGGAGTGGTGTCTGACCTCCCGCCCCTCCCCCCCCCCAGGCGGGCTGCATGCTCTTCCCCCACATCTCCCCCTGCGAGGTGCGCGTGCTCATGCTCCTGTACTCGTCCAAGAAGAAGATCTTCATGGGCCTCATCCCCTACGACCAGAGCGGCTTCGTCAACGCCATCCGGCAGGTCATCACCACACGCAAGCAGGTGTGCCCGCGAGCCCAGGCCAGCCCTGCCCCGGGCGTGTTGCACGGCTTTGAAGAGCAAGGAAGGGGGGATGATGGAGGGCGGTTCCTAGCACAAGGGGGCCAGGTAGGCGTGTGGCCGGAAGGCTCTGGAGGGGCTGTGTGTCCTGGTTCAGCTTTGCCAGTTACGTACGGACCCTCCCGTCCGGGTGTTAGAGGCAGACCCTGTGGGCTCTGTACCCTGGGTTGAGCACCTGAGGTTTGTTCTGGACACTGGGGCGCCATGGCAGGTCTGTCAGCAGGTGCTGGGCAGGGCACCTCTGGGGCTGTGGGCACACTGCCTGGAGACGGCGCTGGGGTTCCCCAGAAGCCGCGTCGGGGCGCTCCCAGGCAGCGGCCCTGCTCGTCCTTCCGCAGGCCGTGGGCCCCGGGGGCGTTGCAGGCCCCGTTCAGATCGTCAACAACAAGTTCCTGGCGTGGAGCGGAGTCATGGAGTGGCAAGAGGTGGGTCCTGGGGGGACCTGGGCGGCCCTAAGCCCTGCGCGGCCTTGCTGACTGGGGTGCCTCCCCGCTCCTGATGTCTCCCCTCTCCCTCTCCCCAAAAGCCCAGGCCTGAGCCCAACAGTCGCTCCAAAAGGTGGCTGCCGTCGCATGTCTACGTGAACCAAGGGGAGATCCTGTGAGTGCTGGGCTGGGGGCGGAGGCCACGTCCCGCCGTGACCTGGCTTCTGACCCTGTCCCCTCGTGCCCCGTAGGAGGACTGAGCAGTGGCCGAGGAAGCTGTACATGCAGCTTATCCCGCAGCAGCTGCTGGTGAGTGTGATTGACGGAAGGCACTCAGCCTGTGTGACAAATAGCAGACTGGTGGGGGTGCTGCATGTGCAAGGGCCCTGTGGCCGGCAAGCGAAGGTAGGCGGGTGTGGAGAGCAGCTTGCAAGTCACCCATGGGACCAGCAGAGGCCAGAGGCCCGCAAACCTGGCATGGGGGTCGGGGGAGCGGCGGGGCGGCTGACTGGAACGCCCCCACCCTGGTCTCATGGAGCCGCCACGCTACCCCCCCAGACCACGCTGGTGCCACTATTCCGGAACTCACGCCTGGTGCAGTTTCACTTCACCAAGGACCTGGAGACACTTAAGAGCCTGTGTCGGATCATGGACAACGGCTTCGTGAGTGCGGCGCACGGGCCTGGGGAGCAGGGTGGGGGGCTCCGCGTGGTGGTCAGAACCTGAAGGGAGATGAAGGCGGGTGGCCGTTCCTGCCAAAGCCAGCTGGGCCGAGCTTGGCGGCCGCCCCCACGGTGATAGCAGGTCTGCCTCAGGTCCGGACGCACGCAGCCTCCTGGTCCTTGGGACTCCCTGGGTCTCTATGCTGTCCTGGCCACATTTTATAGATGGGGAAACTGAGGCTCAGAGCGGCACTTGAACCCAGCATGGTGCAGGCCTCCAGGGTTGATGCAGTCTCGAGGGGCTGGTACTCCTGAGGGCCAACAAGGTGCCCCTGGGTCCCAGGTCCCTCCTGCTCCTCCGTGAGGGCGGGGTGTCCCAGGACAAAGGGCACCTTTGCTGGCAGGGCAACTGTCTGCTTCCAGCCTGAGCTCAGTGCACTGGCTTCTCTTCCAGGGGGGCCTTGGCTTCGGTTTCTCTGTCTGCAAGCGGGGGGGGGGGTTTGTCCTCCGGGGTTTATGAAAGCATAGGCGTCACTGCATTTTGTGCACGTTTGCCATTGCAGGCCAGTGTGTGTCCCCACCTTCCTGACTCCGTCACAGCAGCGCCAGCGTGTAGGGGGAGGGCAGTTTCTGGTGTTAGAAAGTTTGGGAGCATGGAGTTCCCGCAGGGGAGCGGTTAAGGCCGCGGAGGCCCCTGGCCGGCCTGCCCAGCTCCCTGTGCTCCCTTGATGGGGCCGGGGCTCAGGTGCGGTGAGGCGGGAGCGCTCTGGAGGGGGCTCCCCAGGCGGCACACGGGAAGGCCCAGCCCTCGTGGCTGTGGGGCCTGGGAGTCCTTGAACTTGGCCTCCGTGTGCCCACCTGTGAGGCAGGGGAGGCAGCTGGACTGCAGAGAGCCAGGCCCAGGGAGGCAGGGCGGGAGCCCCTGTCCGCTTGTCCCGAGGTGGCCCTCTGGGCAGTTGCGTCCCTGGGTTGAAGGAACGGCAGCGTCCTCACCGGTTCGCTGGGGGTTCAGGGTTGGCGCTACAGCTGCTCTGGGGGCTTGCGTGTGGGCGGACCTTAGTGCTGGGTCTCCTGCGGCCCGTTGGCGCTTCTGCGGGTCACGGTTGCCTAGCGCCCCGGAGGGCAGTCCCACTCACCTGTGTACTGTTGTTGGAGGGACGCTCATCGTGGGCGCTGCTGTGGCCTTGGAGCTTGTCGGAGCCCAATCCCGGTCCCTCGGTGCAGAGCCCCAGGCCGCTGTAGGGGCTTTGCGTCCTTGTCCCCAAGCAGTAGCAACCCAGGGCCGGGAGGACGGCGGTGGGACACCGTGTGCCAGCTCTGAGGGACATGGGCCCGCGCGCTCGAGCCCCAGTGGCTGCGGGGAGACACAGCGGCGTCTCTGCCAGATCTTGACCCCCGCCTGGCGCCCCTCACCCACCAGGCCGGCTGCGTGCACTTCTCCTACAAGGCGTCGTGCGAGGTGCGCGTGCTCATGCTGCTCTACTCGTCCGAGAAGAAGATCTTCATCGGCCTCATCCCGCACGACCAGAGCAACTTCGTCAACGGCATCCGCCGCGTCATCGCCAACCAGCAGCAGGTCCTGCAGCGGAACCTGGAGCAGGAGCAGCAGCAGCGCGGGGTGAGGCTGGAGCCCCTCGCCCCCCCCCCCGTCCTGCCCCCCCTCCCCAGGTCCCGCCGCTGACGCAGCCACCCCGCCTTCCTCCCCCACAGATGGGGGGGTAGCAGCCACCCCCAGGCTGGGCCCCTCCGGGAGTCACAGACGAGGCCCCCGCCAAAACTGGTGAGTGGCACCGGCTGGGGCGTGGGGCGGACGCTCGGCTGGGTCTGGGCTTTGGGGAGTAGTCACGTGACTGGTTTGTAGACCGGAGCCGAGGCATGTCCCGGAAGCTTCCAGCAGCCCCCGGCCTCCTGGGCAGCTGCCACCCTCTCCCCCCGGAGGTGAGGGTGGTGACGAGAGGTCCCTCCCCTTGGAGCCTGGGCCCCTGCGCGAGGGGTTGGGAGGCCCCGTCCAGCCCCTCCCCCTCTGCCCCCCCTCCCCCCAGGTCAGATGCTTCTGAGCAGGGGCCCCTGGGATGGCGGCTGCCCAGCGAGACAGAGGACCGCGTCGTGAGAGGTCTCCCAGGCCGGCCTCCACCTCTGTACGTTTCCCCAATAAAGTCTTTTAAAGGCGTGCCGGCCACCACTCTGTGTCCTGAAGCCTTGGCCCGGGCGAGGTCGCGCCCTTCCCAGGCGAGGGCTGCTGGCCCAGTCTGTGCCCTGCGCGACGTGGAGTCCTTCGGCAGGGTGGGGGTGGGAGGACACCTTCCGGATCGGTCACCTGCCCGGGGAGGGCAGTGCAGACAGCCGCTCGTACCTTCGGTGGCGGGTCCGGCCCCAGACGACCATGCCGTGCTTGCGGCCCTGTCTTCCGAGGGCCGTCCCAGGTTCCTGGGGCCCGCTTCCCGCTGCCACCGGGGGCCTCTGCTCGAGCCCTTTGGCTTCAACAGGCCTCACTGGGCCGGCAGCGAATACCAGCTGGGCCCGGGACTTGCCCTGTGACGGGACTCCGGCAGCGCCTTCCCTAAGGTGCTGGGCCAGGTCACCACCCCCAGGTCACGTTCAGTGTGCGGTTTCTCAGCTCACCCAGGTCAGCTCCAGCTCTTTCTTCTCTTCGGGGTCACATCGCACATGTCCTTCGCTGGCTCTCCAGTTGGGCAGCCGCATGCAGGGAAGACCCCTACTACCCCAGGGCCCTGCCCCTCTAGGGGCACGGTCGGGGGAGGGGGGGAGCTCCCTCGGCTCTGTCTAGAATGCCCACAGCCACGGTTCTGAGGAGCCTCAGTGACCCACCGCGGGGGAGGCATCTGGCCAGAGCGTGCAGCTCAGGGCAAAACCCCCCCCAGACCCGTGTCTGTCCCCAGAGCCCCCCAGCCCGCTTGGGGATTAGCCAGGTGCTGGTCCTCCGCGGTGCTGACCACCCTTCTTCCCAGCACAATGCTGCCCGAGTTTAAAGAAAAACAATTTATTGGGGGGCTGGGGAGGCCAGGGAGAGGCGGGGGCAGCTCAGCCCTCTGAGAACTGGCAGTACAGCCGCTTGAGGTGAGGCTCCACGTTCAGCCGAAACGGGATTTCCAGGATGGCCGAGAAGCCTTCCTCCAGCCTCGGGGCCTCGAACTGCTTTCTGCTGGCAGGGGTGAGGAGGGGAGGTGAGACCCGGCCTGGCCCCTTCCCCCACCATGCACCCACCTGGAGCTGCCCCGGAGGGGTTCACCTGTAACCAAACATGACGACCTCGGACACGGGGGCGTGAGAGGAACCAGTCATCTCTCGAAACTGTGGGGTGGGGAGGGCAGGGCGGAGGTCAGGCCAGAAATGGGGGGGGCAGGACGGAGGGGGGGTGGCTGGGGGGGGGCACAGGCCAGCTCACCCGGTTGTTGTGGCGTGCCTGCTCCAACGTGGCGCCAAAGAGAAAGCAGCGGCAAGGGACGCCTGCGTCCCGGGCGCACTTAATGTACCTGGAGGGTAGGTAAGGGGCGAAGCTGGTGAGGGGCCCCAAGCCCACCCTACGGAGGCCACCGGGGACCCTGGTACCTGGCCCGGCTGGGAGGGTCTGGGTTGGTGTTGTCGATCACAACCCGTTTCCTCTGCTTGAGAGCGGTCTCGCACATGGTGACACAGCGCTGCCACGAACCCAGGGTGTCCTAGGGGACACAGCAGGTCAGGTGACCCGGGGGGGGGGGGNGGCTGGGAGGGTCTGGGTTGGTGTTGTCGATCACAACCCGTTTCCTCTGCTTGAGAGCGGTCTCGCACATGGTGACACAGCGCTGCCACGAACCCAGGGTGTCCTAGGGGACACAGCAGGTCAGGTGACCCGGGGGGGGGGGGGGGGGGGGGGGGGGCCAGGCCGGGGGGGGAACGGGGGGGGGGGGGGGGGGGGGGGGGGGGGGGGGGGGGGGGCGCAGAGAAGAGAGGAGTCCGCAGTCTGGCGGGGAGGGGGGGCGGGGGGGGGCGGGGAGGGGCTGGGCGGCACAGCGGGGGCTCACCCGGTTCACGTGGACGTATCCGGAGGCCACGAGGTGCTTCTGGAGGAAGGTGGTCTTGCCAGCTGCGAAGCAGGGGACGGGATCAGGGGGCACTGAGGACCCGGGCAGGGGGCTCGGGCCGGCAGGGGTCAGGGACTCACCCCCAGGAAATCCCACGGCGACCACCACTTCAGGGTCAGGACTCAGGAGGGAGCTGGACTCAGGGAGGCAGAGCGGCCCCGCGGGAGAGACAGTTCTCTGGTGGGGAGGGGGCTGTGATGAGTGTGACCCCCTCCTCACCCCTCACCCCTCCACCCCCACCTCCCCCAGAGGGCCTCACCGGGTCAAAGGTGGGGAGCACGAAGCTGGCGACCGGCCACTTCAGAAAGAACTCCTCTGGCGTGGCGAAGGGCAGGCCAAGGTTGAGGGCAAACTGGGGGAGGAGGCGGGGGACACAGAGGTCAGACAAGGTGGGGAGGAAGCTGCAGGTGGGCGGGGAGGAGGGGAGGAGGGAGGGGAGGGGGGAGGGGAGGGGAGGTGGGCTCACCAGACGGTCTGCACAAGAGAAGTCTTTCTTCTTCCGCCCTGGGGCCCAGTTGGCTGGGCGTCCAGCTGCATCTGGAAGACACGGGGGCCACACGCCCGCGTCCGGCAGCAGCTTTGGGGACGCGTGTACCCCAGCCCTCTCCCCGTCCCCTTACCTCCCACAAAGACACTCTCCCCAATGGAGATGGGCACGCCCTCGTTGGCCTGGGGAAGGACAGGAGACAGACAACAGGCAGTAAGGAGGCCGCTCCCACATCTCCCTGGGGGTGCTCGGCTCCCCCCGCCCCCCGCCCCCCATCCCCGCCATCGCCCAGCGCTGTTCTGGTTGCTGGGCTCGGCGCTTCTGCCCTCACGGTCTGTTCCCCACGCGGCCACCAGAGGGTGCCAGTTCCCGCTCATGTTGGCTCCTCCCCTCCCAGCCCTACAGGGCACCATCCCCTTGCTCCCCAGCAGGGTAAAAGGAAGCCCTTACCTGGGCCTTCAAGGCCTCACAGTCGGACACCTATCCGTCCGGCCACCAGGCCTCGTCACTGTCCCTGAACGCTCTAGTCACAGCCTTGCCTCGAGACGCTGCGGCTGCTCCCGCCTAGACAACTCGCTCTTCCTAGATACCCTCGTGCCCCTCCCCCCGCCCCAGCTTCAGGTCTCAAAAGGCTCCTCGCAGAGGCCGCACCTGACCACTGGAGGGAGACGTGCCTCATCTGCCTCACTTCCTCCCAGTATTTTACACACCAGCGTGTGCACGCAGAGGCTGCACCCTCCCCGCGTGCGGGCGCCCCTGGACGAACACCTTCAGCTCAGGAGGCGGGGAGCCTCAGAACCATCGCTCACACGCCAAGAACGAACAACCGATTTCTCCCTGGACTGCTCTGACTTTCCAAGTTCAAGAGCACTGCCCTCACCTACCGACAATATGTGCCGGGTGGAAAGAGAAGGCAAGGACCAGGGGAGGGGACGAGAGGAAAGGAGAGGAAGAGGGGAGGGACCGAGCCGCCGAGGCTCACCTGCTCCTGCAGATGGTCCCACATGCCGCTCACGGGCTTCCGGTACAAGCCGGCATGCGTGGCCACCAGTACCTGTGGGTGGGAGCCAGACACCCTCCTGGGCCCCTTCCCAGAATCCTCCAAGGATGCGACCCCAACCCTCACCAATCCAGAGACCTGTGCCCCCAGATGAGTTTCTCAGCATAACCCCGCCCAGGCCCCCCTTCCCCTCCCGGGGACCCTGCCCCTCCACCTCCCACTGGCGCTTATGGCTCCTCCCAGGGCGCCTCTCCCCTTCTGTGTCCCCACCTCAGGATCTCTGTTCCCCTCTCTCTGGGTCCCCGCCCCCCACCTCCACCACCCCGACTCCCAGGCAGCCACACCTGAAAGGGGAGCCCCAGCTTCTCCACCACAGCCTCCACCTTGGCCTTGAACTCCTCCGCTGGCAGCTTTCCGCGCCCGATGCCCATCTGGTTGGTGAAGATCACCAGCTGGGGGGCACATGGGGGTCATCTGGTGCCCTCCGCCCCCCCTCCCCAGGGCTGCCCTGTGGCCCAGGCATCACGTGCAAAAAGCACACACCTTGTAGCCTTCCGCATCCAGCTCCCGAAGCTTACGTGGAATCTCCAGGTACGAGAGCCTAGGGCAGGTGGGAAAGCGGCAAGGTGATGGGGGGCCCCCTGCGGATGCCTCACTCACCCCCTTGTTCTGCCTCCTATCACCTCCAGTCACTGGGGCCAGTGGGAAAGACCTTCCCAGAGCGTGTGGTGATGAGGGTCCCATCCAGATCAAAGGCGGCCACCTGATGGTCAGCGAGAAAAGAGGAACAAGACGCTGTTACGCCTCCCATCCCCCCCGCACGGTGGAGACTAGGACCACTCGCCCTTTACCCACAGGGAAACTGAGTCACAGAGCCTCCACATCTTATGTGAGGGCAAGGCACAGCAACGATGTGTCCCTGGCACCCGGGCGCAGAGCTTGAAATCTTTACCGCACTGCCTGCGGCTTCTCCTAAACGCCTAGGTTTTCTGGTCTTTCAAATGGGGTTCATGGGGCGCCTGGGTGGTTCAGTCGGGTAAACATCTGACTTCAGCTCAGGTCATGATCTCAGGGTTCGTGGGTCTGAGCCCTACATGAGGCTCTCGGCTGAGTCCGCTTCAGAGCCTGTCTCCCTCTCTCTGCCCCTCCCCCGCTCACTCTCACTCGGTTGCTCAAAAATAAATATTTAAAAAATCGTTTTTGAAATACAATAAAATGGTGTTCAAATCCCGCCCGCCTCCTCCCCTGGCCTTCACCCCAGAAGCCTAATAACCCTGGAAATGAAAACAGGAGTGTGGTTGCTTGGGTGCCAACTGCATGTCAGGGGCTGTGCCGCGCGTGCTTTCCGGGGATTGGGGACTTTACTGCGGAGCCCAGCGGGGCTAAGAACGCGTGGACTAACAGCTCGGAGCTCGGGTCGCGGCTACAATCGGCTACCCCTGCTACAAAGACCGAGGCTCGTTGCTGAGGTTACTGTGGGTCAGGCGGCAGCTGACAGACATCAAAGTCCCCAGCGCCTGAATCTGTCCTCAGGTGCGCTTCTCAAAAAACAAAAACAAAAAACCAAAAGTGGAGGCTCAGAGATTGAATGACCTGCCCAGGGACACACAGCAAACTGAGGGCCCAGCCCCCACCCCAGGTCGGTGTGGCTCCAGCTCGGCCCTCACCTTGCCGCGGGGCTTCACCCCAGGCGCCGTAAACACTAACAGCTTCTCAAAGTTCTCCCAGCCGGAGGGCAACTTCCGCATCCGCTTCTTCGGTGGTTCAACGTCCTCGGCCGCGTCTGGGGCCACCGGAGGGGTGCCGGGTGGAGTGTCTGGCTGGGATTCAGACGTGCGCGCCTCTTCCCAGCGCAGGGTTAGCGGGTGGAGGCCGTTGACCAAATACAGTGTGTCCCCCACCCTCAGAGAGCCTTCGGACCCCGGATTCAGCTCCTGGGTGCCAGCAGTTGAGGGATTAATTCCCAGCTGTAAAGGGAGACAGAGGAGCTGGGATCAACTGCATTCCTCCCCAGGAGCCTCCTCTAATTAAACGACACGGGGAAGAACTTCCTTTCACCACCTGCCAATCAGACCCACAGACCCCGCCTCTTCGCTGTGCACCACCAATCAGGGATCTGGAAATGTTACAGGCGGCCAGTGTTACCCAATTTAAATGTGGATGGATACCCAACTGGAGAAGATAACACTTGGAGGCTTCTCTATTGGCCACACCCCTTCCCTCAAAACCAGGTTTTTCCAATGGGGCCTGTTCCTCCTGCTGGGTTGCTATTCCTCCCCAACGCCACCCCCAGGCCTCACGGAGGAACGGGTACCTGTTTCACTGCCACGGTCTTCCTCCCAGGGTCTGCGACCAGCTCCACTGAAGGTTGAGAGGGTGGAGTCAGAACGTGCATCCTTGTGCGATCATTTCCCTCGTTACTGGGGAGCACGGCCAGCTTTAAGGCACAGGATGGGGGGTATAGCACCAATTTGGGAGGGAAAAGCAGCTTATTTCTAAATGGGATCGGCTCTTTCCCTTACATGCAGGAATCAGATAAGGCCTTAGGATTGCCTGTGACGCGGGTTCTCGCCTACGGACAGGGCGGGCATTTTCCATAAAGAATTGGCTTCTCTCCCTGATGAGCCGTGTGCTTAGCTGCAGGTCCTGGGCTTCGCCCGTTACCACCTAGGCCTGCATAGCAACAAGCACTTTTCACCATACGATCGGCTCTCTCCTTGTCGTGACCTGAATCAAGGCTTCACGGTGACCTGTAAGCATCCTCCTCTGACACCTTTGTTGGATTGGCTCTATCCCCTCCCCACTAAGGGGTCTGCCTAGTGCCAGGTCGGGCACAGCTTTTCTCTTCCTATACTCTCCAGAGGGCACCTACCAACTTCAGGACTAGTTACACGACGCAGTTCTGCCTCGTGGCCAAACATCTCCCTTACTGGCCTGGCTGCCCATCTTTCCTGCAGACTGTGTTCCAGCTCCAGCAGCGGGCCACACCCACTACAGCTCCGGCCCCGGCCCCGCCCACCTTGGTTTCTGGAGCACTTCCGGTCGGTAACCTGGGTCAAGGGTCCCCGGCCGAGGACAAGGATTTGCCCGTCCGAAGGCAGGAAGATGGGGGGCGCACCCCCAGGGGGGCTCTCCAGCCACAGGCGGCCCTGGAGCTCCACCTCGGCCATCCCTAGCGCCAGCCTAAGGGGAAGTAGGTAAACAGGTTTGATTGGCGGAACGCCCTCAAATTGCTATAGGAAGTCCCGCCTCCCCCACCAGGAATTTCCCTTCTTCCGCTGAAGGCTCCGGAAATCCCACCCTCTCGCCGGCCTCCAGCTCGCGCCGTTTCCCAGGCGACGACGCCCCGCTCATTCCCGCCATGAGCCGGGACCCCTACGTCCGAAGGCAAAGGCCAAGAACCTCGCGTGCGCTCCTGGCTCGGCCCCATGCTCACCATGCCGGACCGGCGCTCACCTGCCACTTGCGACCGGGGAAGTCAGCCCCGAGGGGTTCTGCCCGCAACTCCACCGGCTTCTTTCTCTGTTTCTCGGCGGACGGAAATGACTCGTCCTACGGAAGGGGGCAGGGCCTTGGCTCCTCCCACGACAAGAGCCCCGCCCCTTTCAGACCCGCCTCTTTGGTCCCTCCGCCGGTCTGACCTTCATTTCTCCAGCAGCAATGGGAGGCTATGGCCAGTAGGGGGTGTGGGTCCTCTTTTCACAGATTTTCTTCTTTCCACGTCGAACTCTTAACATTTCATTCCCTTAGTTATAGCGGGAGAAACTTTTTTTTCATTCATTGGTCATTGTCAGTCCAAGAAATCTCCGTCCCCGACAGCAGCCCTGACCCTCAATACTGCAATTTTCTCGTCTTTAAAATGGGGACAATTGTTTCTACTTTATGGGGTTACTAGGAAGATTAAAGGAGTTAATATGCATAAATAGCTTTATAAAAAGTGTTTGGCTGGTAGTTCGTCTTATCTGTTGCTAGCATTCCTTCAGTGATGGTCTGATGGGAGATGAAGTTTACAGGTTTACTGGCCCCAGCCCAGACTTCGAACCAGGTGCTGTCTTTAGCTCTCACGTTAGGCAGAAAACTCTAGGCCTCAACTGGAGGTTCCTGGTTTTGCTGGGGGCTATCTGGACTCAGAACACTGATTCTTTAAAGACTATTCACATTCCAACACTCATCTCTTGAAGATTAGGGATCTGTAGTCACACAGGGCTGGAATCCCCACTCCCACCCTGTGAATCTCTTTTCTTATCTGTAAAAACGCCTAGCTTTGCACTTAACATCGATGAAATGCTGGTCATTCAGCTTCAGAAAGTGTTTGTTAAATGAACACATTTTGTACTCAGAGGTAAAACTCTTTTAATCTCAGACCATCCCTCCCAACTCCCGATCCCCACCTCCGAATCTCTCCCCCACACAAGGGCCGGGAGAGCGAGGGCCCCTGCCCCCCACCTTGGGCGGACGAAGGCCCTTTAAGGCACCTGTGGGGGTGGGGGGAGAGGGGCGGGAGCTGGTGCCGTCCGGGCTGCAAGGACGGACTTCGATTGGCAGGCTGTTGTGGGATGGAACCAGGGAGAAGGTATCAGATTCAGGGACAGGACTGGGCCATCCCCGGGATGGGGTAGAGGGACACGTAGGACTAGGTCAAAAACAACCCCAGTCCCAGTAGTGTAAAGAACAGAAATTTAAGGCCGCAGGCCAATCCCTGGGCACAGGAGGGTTTGGCCACGCCCACAGGACGCTGGAGCCAATCAGGCGGACAGCCCAGGAAGGGTGGGATGGCGACTCTGCGAGATTGGTCAAGCCCTTTGGACCCGAGCCAATCAAACGTAGGAGCCGCCCACTCTCTAGGCCAAAACGGCTTGCCACTTCCCAATCCAGTGGCTCCGCTTTTCGCTTTCTACCAATGCCGCGCGAGCAAAGCCCTTGTCGCTAGGCAAAAAACGACAGTTGACCCATTTTAGGGTTTAAAACTGGCCGCCCGAATCAGGGAGCGAGCCAATTCCTTAATCGAAAGAATCTGTCGCAGGGGAGAGAAAGCGGCGACAGACCCAATCGAGAAACTAGATAGGTCCCGCTCCTCGGCGCGCAAAGGGATCGTGGGCTGGAAGGATGGCGGAGAGTGGCAGGGAGGGGGCAATCCTGGGGCCCGGGAAACCTGGAAGGTCGGTCCCAGGTCTGAGCCTGATTGGCCGGCCCGGGGGGCTGGGCAGGGGTGTAGTGTGGGCCGTAGCGGACGCTGGGCCGTGAAGCTCTCTCCTTCGGCCTCAGTATTTCCGCTTCAGCTTCTGGAAGTCGCTGGTGTTGAGCCGCGGTCGCGGCAGGTCCCCGAAGACCTGGGTGTCCTCGGCTTCCCGGAGCACCAGCGCGCGCATGCTCGCCGCGATGCGGTCCAGGTCCGGCGAGGAGGGCTGCGGAACGGGGGCGGGGTCAGCGCCCGTTGCGGCCCCGCCCCTTCGGGCCAGGCCCCTCCCAGCACCTCTCGCCTATGGCCAGAGGGCCCTTCCCCCAGTCTGGCTCCAAGTAGGATCCTTCTACCCAACTCAAACACCGCCTCCTCCAAGAAGCCTTCCTGCCTCCCTCTTCCGCCGCTCCTTGGCCTGAGGACTCCACACGCAAGAACAACTACTATCCTATCGCCGTTCTAGTTCCTTATACAACGGAAGTGCTGCTTGTCTGCTGACCATCAAGGCTGCATGCACCCAGAGGGTGTCCTGTCTATGGATTTGGGTTGGGCTTGGCATTAGTCATGTAACAATCGGGCCTCTGCCACCGACAAGCTGTCGACGGGCACATCATCTCCCTAGGCTTCGCTCTCCCCTTTAAAACACGGGGATGAGGACAGAGTCTGAGACCACGAGCACAGCGACTGCTCAAGGGCTATGAACAGTCACGCAGCAGGCGCTGTAGGGATAGGACCCCTTGCCGTGTTGGCCTCCACCCGGAAGGGGCCCTGTCCTCCTGCCCCCCAGCATCTAGTGCGACCTCCCTTATGGCCCCCGAAGGCTGGAGCTGGGCCTGGTCTCGGACAGAAAGGGAGGGCCCCAGGCAGATGCGGGACCAGAGACCAGCTCCTCCCTCCCCCAACTCAGGCCTCAAATGCTGTCAGTTCCCCGCGTGTCCACCGGGGGCAACAAGGAGAGCAGCAGCGGCTGGATGCCGCCGGCCTGTCGAGGACCCCCGAGAGGCACGACAGCGAGGGGGACTGGAGGGGCCCAGGGCCTCCTCCCTTGCGGCCTGTAACTCCTTTCCAAAAGGAAGCCGGGTTCCAATCCCCTTACATGCTGAGGTCCCAAGAAAGTCACATACACTCCCCGTGTGTCAGGGAGGTTCAGTGATGGACCAAGAGGGTCCACCCAGGCCAGGCCAGCCCAGGAGCCACTTGAAGGCTTGTGTGGGGGAAACCGAAGTGGGGGAGGGGCAAATTCCAGGGGGAGCCAGGAATATGCCAGGTGGGGACAAAAGGTGATCTGGCCCCTCCAAGCCTGTTTCCCCTTCTAGACAGGATACTGAAGTACCGGAGTCTTGCCTGAAGCAGGCATTCTATAAAGGAAGCTATTCCTAGAAACCGGAAGGGACTTTCCCTACAAGGCACTGGGGTGCGTTATAAGGCTGCAATAGTTACAACTTTAGGGCTCGGGCCCAGAAACCTGTCTCATGAGGTGGAGGGGAGGATCAAGCCTATGAAATGTGCCATCCATGCCTGAGGGCTTCCTGTAGGAAGTGGCTCTGAGCCTTTCCCTCCCCCCTCCTCCCCTCTTCCCCTCTGCCCCTCACCGGCCCATTCTCCTCATCCGACGATCGTGCTTCTGTCCTCTTCTCCTTGAAGGCCCAGACGGGCACGGACACGGGCAGGGACTTGGCATACTGCTGTGTGGGCAGGGCTGAGGCCGGAGGCACTGAGTAGGCTGGGGGGCCAGCAGGGGTCTCCTCGCTCAGGCTGCCATCTGGGGGAGAGGGTGGACTTCATCCCGTGCCCCTGACTTCATCCCAGCAGCCCTGGGCATGGGGACAGCCCGAGACACTTACCATCTGTGCTTTCAGGGTCCGACTCACAGAACGGGGGCAGGTCCTGGAGTGTGGCATCCTCATCCATCACGAAGAGCCCTGTGGGTGGCGGGACTCCAGCCACGACTGCAGCCACCGCCACCACCTCCCCCATCACTGGCGGCCCTTGCGAGCCTCAGGGCTTCTGGAATTATTCCCTCTGCCTCAAACACCCTTGGCCCTGGTTATCTTCCAGGTCATCAGCAGAAACAAATCCAGTTTCTATCTGTTACACCCTCGGGTGAAAACAACTGGCTGCGTAAACATGAAATCTCTTAAGATCTATCTGCTTGAGGGGCACCTGGGTGGCTTAGTCGGTTAAGCGATCGACTTTCGCTTAGGTCATGACCTCGCGGTTCGTGGGTTCGAGCCCCGCATCGGGCTCTGTGCTGACTGCCAGCTCAGAGCCTGGAGCCTGTTTCAGTCTGTGACTCCCTCTCTCTCTGACCCTCCCCGCTCACGCTGTCTCTCTCTCTCTCCTAGAAATAAATTAAAAACATTTAAAAAAAAAAAAAGATCTATCTGCTTGGGATGAACTGGTCAAAAAACAGACTGAGAAAAACAGGACACGATTATGATCCCTGTTTGACAAATGGGGACCAGGAGGCCCAGAGGAGTTAAATCATTGCCCAAAGTTCCCTGGCTAATAATCATGCATCCCCAGGATTTGAACCCAGGTCACTCAGCTCTAGAGTCTGTGCCCTTGGGGCGCCTGGGTGGTTCAGTCGGTTGAGCGTCGGACTCAGCTCAGGTCATGATCTCATGGTTCGTGGGCTTGAGCCCCGCGTCGGGCTCTGTGCTGACAGCTCAGAGCCTGGAGCCTGCTTCGGATTCTGGGTTTCCCTCTCCCTCTGACCCTACCCTGCGCGTGCACGCGCTCTCTCTCTCTCTCTCTCTCAGAAATCAGAAATAAAGCATTAAAAAATTTAGAGTCTGTGCCCTTAAACCTATGCAGGTTTTCTCCAGCAACAGTGAAAAAGCCAGCATTAGAGTAACAGTAAGTCCTACCTATCGAGCCCCCACGAACTCCTAATCACTCTTCAATGCCCTAATGTTATAGTCTAGTCTCCAACTAGCCCCCGAAACAGGCAGCTGCATCTTCCCTTGGCTTCTTTAAGCTGCTGCCTGCATCCCTGACTCCTCCCTTTGTTCTCACAAGCACGAGGCGCCCCGTATTTGCAAATAACTCCAAAGCTCTCGGCTCAGGTCCCATCCCCATGGCCTCCACAGGGCACTGCCTCACATCGGGAACACCAACTTCTCTGCCAGGCTCAAAGTCCCTCAAGAAAAGGGCCTGGGCTGGCTCTGGGTCTGTGTCCAGCAACCCCCACCACAGAGTTGGCCTCAGGGTAACATGTGAGGAACCTGAGGCTCAGAGACGGGAACTGACCTGCTCAAGGTCACACAGCAAGTCCGCCTGCCCCTTTGGCTCTTTGAGGCTGCAGCTTCCATAGAACACCAGGGGTCAGGGACAAGCGAGTCCCACC